CCTCGCTCCGCCCCCAGCCCTGCCTCAACTCCACCCCTTCCCCCAAGTCCACACCCCACCACTTTCTGCCCCCACCCTGCCTCTTCTCGCCCCTGCCCTGCCTCTTCCCCACCCCTTTCCGCCCTCTCCCCCAAGCATGCCCTTCCCCCTCCCTCCAAGTGTAACCCACACACCTCCTGGGTGTGGTGCTCTGTCCCATCTAGTGGCACCAAGACCACTGAGACAGAGATAAATGAATCTGCTCTACAGCCTTAACTAACAGCCACATGGCTTTTAGCTCATGCAGTAGAGGCTCATGCCCTAAGCTCCAGATGCTCCAGGTTCGATCCTGCCTGCCGATGACCAGGGTCGGTCGGTGTTACACAAGCACCAAAAGAAGGCATTACTCTGCTGCTCCTCAACCCTCCTAGCCTTCAGAACAGCTACCTTAGCCCAAGTGTATTTCAAAAACCCAGAAATGTGTGTGTCAGATGATCCAATAGTTTGCTTTGCTTTCAGATTTAACTCAGACCAACACGCTGATGATCATATAGAATTAATCTCAGTGCTACCCTTGGAAGCCTATCTGTTCTTTGCTCCTCAGACACAAACACACCAAGGAGCCTTGCAAGAAACCTGCAGTCTGCTTACCTGAGCCTCTGCAGGCAGTGTTTGCTGGTCTGTATCACAGAGGAAGAAGGGGGCTTGTAGGGACAGGAGAACGCTGAGTGGCAGGGAGGAGATGTTCTTTAAGATCAGAGGTTCATACTGCGAAGTCAGGACATCACTGGGGTGCTGTGTAGATGCAAAGCTATGTGAGAAAGGAAGAGAAACCCCGAGACAAGCACATGCCCACTAGGACTACTGGGCTGCAGGCAGGCAGCTGGGCCTGGAAGGGAGAGTTCAATCCTCCGCCACAGCACAGCAGCTCATTTCTACAGCTTTTGTGGCATGAGCAAAGTCCAACATGCCTCATCAAATCTGTGTGTGGACATGGCAATGCCGGCTTTGTTAGGATGATGATAAAGCATTTTCTGAATGAAGCAGGGTATAGCTTTGTGTTTCTACAATGTCACAAGAAAAAATAAGGATAAGGAAATAAGGCATACAATTTTAAGTGAGTAATTAGCCATTGGAACAATTTACCAAGGGTCATGGTGATTTGATTTTAAAATCAAGATTGGATGTTTTTCTGCAAGATCTGCGCTAGGAATTATTTTGGGAACGTTCTCTGGCCTGTGGTATTTAGGAGGTCAGACTAGATGATCACAGTGGTCCCTTTCTGGCCTTGGTATCTATTATTCTTTTTCTCATTTCTTCCTGGGTTCCTTTCCCCAATTTTCAAAATGTTCCAATTTGAAATTTCATCAAAATTCAAAAACCATTATGACCAGCTGTATAACTGGTCAAAAATTGGGGAAACTTTTCAATGACAATTTTGTCAATTTCTCCCCTTCCCTCTCCCCTCCCCTCCTTTTCTTTTTCTTTTTCTAATTTCAAAATTTTCTCACACACCCAAAATTGGCAAAGTTTGAAAAATTTCAACCAGCTCTATCACTATTAATACTTTCTAGCCCTTTTCTCCCTCAAATGCATTTACTTTACAAACCATAACATGTGAGGCTGGGAAGTATTACTATCCCCATTTTACAGATGGGGAAGTAGAGGCACAAAGAAGTGAAATGACTTGACCAAGATCACACAGGAAAGTGCAGTGACAGAGTGGGAAACAGAACACAGGTCCCCTGACTCCAAGTCCTATACTTTAACTAATAGACAGTGAATCTTTCTCAGTCTAACTGGCACAAAGGGCTTTTATTCACAGAGTAAATCCTGCCAACCTTACTGATCTGAGGCATCCCATTAAAGTCAATGGGGCTACTTGCATGAGAAAGACAAGCAAGAAAGAAAATGTTTCCTGCATATGCACTAGGCTAGGATCCTGCATAGCTCAGGTGGCAAAGTGTTTTCTGTCCTCTCTGCTATAAAACCAAACAGTCGGCAGGTTCCCAATCTAGCCTATTTGTTCCTGTTTAAACCTGGCATTTCTCTAAGGTTTATGATCAGTTTCTACAAAGTAGATGGTGTTTGGGAAACTAAATGTATTTATCTCAAGCAGCGACAGTGTCATTACAGCCAATAAATCAGAGTGTGTGGCACCAAACCGAATGCAGAGAGACAGCTGGGACAACTGGATGGCACCAAATTAAACCTGAATGTTGAGTTCTAACAGCTCATTCGCATGGGCTACATCAGTGGTTCTCAAACTGTGGGTTGGGACCCCAAAGTGGGTCGTGACCCCATTTTAATGGGGTCGCCAGGGCTGGCTTAGACTTGCTGGGCCTGAGGGCTTGGGCCCCCCGGCCTGGAGAAGTGGGGCTTTGGCTTTGCACTCCCCACCCCCAGGGTGGCGGGACTTAGGTGGCCTCAGGCTTCTGTCCCCCCTCCTGGGGTCCTGTAGTAATTTTTGTTGTCAGAAGGGGGTCGAGGCACAATGAAGTCTGAGAAGTCTGCTGTTCTGCAACATTGCTGGCTGTGGGGAATAGAGAATAGGGATGAACAAGCAGGAGTGGGGTGGGAAAATTGCTTCCCATCAGCAGATATCTTGCAGGACAGGGGATGAAGATGCAGGAATCTGGCTGCAGAGATGAGTGGGACTGAACTGCTCTGTGTATGAGAGTTACATTTCCTAACACAGCAGTTGCTTAAGAATGTCTCCGAATCTTTATGAATACAGAGGGAAATGCAACTGGCAAGAATGGAGATGCGTTAACACAACAGTTCATATATCAATAGTGTGGAGAGCAGAGTTGGACCTGAAGAGAAAGTAGGAAACGACAGTTTTTCCTTGTCAACCTAATTTAAAGTATAGTGGGACAGAACCTCAACTGTTATAAACTGCCATCGCTCCAGTGAAGGACTAGGAGTCTATTCTAGTCCTGGAAGGACCTGGTATAACAGACTGCCATGTCATGACAACGTTAGGTATAGAACTGGTACTTTTGAGAGGTTGTCATGACTCCTCTAGTACAGATGGACTCATGGTAACCAAGGCACCTAGCTATACTGGTGGAAGGGAACAAAAAATAATCTCCACAACATTTTAAAAAAGTCTTTGAATCTTTCCTAAATCAGATGCACAGAGAGCTCACATAATGGGGTGGGGCAATGGTTTTACTGGCATTCATGTGTGATGATCTGGAACCCCACTCGTGGCCTCAGCATTGCCAGCTATGGCACCATCCCACACGGAAGCTGATCAGTTCTTTATTTCTCAACACACTATCATGCGACTTGCCCAGGGGCCTTGGGAAGGTCACTTAACTGTTCTTGCGGTTTATCTACACTCCAGCTGGGAGGTGTAATTTCCAGCTCAAGCAGACACCCCCACCCTAGCTAGTGTGGTAAAAATAGAAGTGCAGCCACCTTGGCTGGCCGCCCTAAGTATGATCCTGGCCAAGATGAAAAGTAGGTACTCGGGGCAGCTAACCCCTCCCACTGCTTGCACCTTATCTACCCACAGGCATAGCGGGACGGTGAGGAATTAATTAATGCTTCTAAAGGAGATTGACCATGTAAAACACTATTAAAGGCGAAATCCTAACCCCACTGAAGTCAATTGCAAAACTCCCATTGACTTCAATGGGGCCAGGATTTCACACACAGTCTTTGCACACGTTTGTACACACACACACACACACACACACACACAATATCCTTTCAAACAGCCATTTGGCTGACTATCTATTAAATGCCAGCAGTCAGCCTAATGCTTTACCTTCTCCACTCGGAAAGTGATCTCTTTGGAGGAGAGGTGCAGAATGGGTGCGATGAATTCACATGTGACGTCCACTTGCATTATCCGTTCCTTCCCAGACTGCTTCCCTATAATGGCATGGCAAATCAATCGTTCCTTCACTACCTGTGCAGGAAACAGTCACAGCTCATTGTCAGTGCGACACTAGCAGCAGTACTGAGATACGTCTTGGCTGCTGGTACAAAGCCAATGGGTTCCATGTGCACGAACAGCAGCCTGTTACCTATTCTTGGCACTCACTGAGCACCATAGCCTATAGGAATAAAGATATATACATCTGTCTGTAAAATTTCCTGTGTTTCTCTATACTGCACTCTGTTTTTTCAATACTAACATTTCCATACTACCATGTGTTCTGCAACTCCTGATGAAGACACTTCTGAGTTATGGTCGTAGGTAGCACCTAATAACTAAAGCATCAAATAAATATTTTTATGATCTATCCCTTTGCCAAGCACAACACTTCTATAAAACAGGAGGGAATCATTTTTTAAAAAATAGGTGTTATATTAAGGAAAATAGATAAAAAAGGAATCCTGATGCCAGCAAACCTGCCCTCAAAACCATCACAGAAATTATAGGCAGAAAGGACCCTATAATCCAGTCAGCTCTTTTCCTTGTCAAAGCAAGATTCCTTCCTCCTCTATGTTTGTGTTTGTCTGATCCAGTTTTAAAAGTCCTCTGCGTTGGGGCTTGCAACACATTCCTTGGGAGTCAACTGGCCAACACAACAACTCTCACATCAGGAGACTTTTCTGAGTCACCTTACACAAGAACATAAGAACGGTCATAGTGGGTCAGACCAAAGGTCCATCTAGCTTAGTATCCTGTCTTCCAAAAGTGGCCAACGCCAGGTACCCCAGAGGGAATGAACAGAACAGGTAATCATCAAGTGATTCATACCCTGTCGCCCATTCCCAGCTTCTGGCAAACAGAGGCTAGGGACACCATTCCTGCCCATCCTGGTTGATAGCCATTCATCCATGAACTAATCTAGTTCTTGTTTGAACCCTGTTATAGTCTGGCCTTCACAACATCCTCTGGCAAAGAGTTCCAGAGACTGACTGTGTGTTGTGTGAAAAAATACTTTCTTTTGTTTGTTTTAAACCTGCTGCCTATTAATTTCATTTGGTGAACCCTAGTTCTTGTATTATGAGAAGGAGTAAATAACATTTCCTTATTTACTTTCTCCAAACCTGTCATGATTGTATAGCCCTCTGTCATATCCTCCCTTAGCCCTCTCTTTTCTAAGCTGAAAATTCCCAGCCTCTCCTCATACGGAAGCCGTTCCATACTCCTAATAATTTTTGTTGCCCTTTTCTGAATCTTTTCCAATTCCAATATATCTTTGAGATGGGGCGACCACATCTGCATGCAGTATTCAAGATGTGGGTGTACCATGGATTTATATAGAGGCAACACGATATTTTCTGTCTTATTATCTATCCCTTTCTTAATGATTCCCAACATTCTGTTCACTTTTTTGAATGGATGTTTTCACAGACTTATCCACAATGACTCCAAGATCTTTCTTGAATGGTAAAAGCTAACTTAGACCCCAGCATTTTATATGTAGAGTTGGGATCATGTTTTCCAATGTGCATTACTTTGCATTGATCAACACTGAATTTCATCTGCCATTTTGTTCCCCAGTCACGCAGTTTCGTGAGATCCTTTTGTAGCTCTTCGCAGTCTGCCTGGGACTTAACTAGCTTGAGTAGTTTTGTATCATCTGCAAATCTTCTTCAATTTCATCCCATTACTCCTAAGCTATCCCCTATGGTGCTATAACAACACTTTCCTCCTTCCCCGGAGTTTGGCGCCCTCCCGGTACTTGCGGACGTTGTCACACCACCAAGCTATGTACCCAGAGCTCTTCTCAGTCTTGAGCCGAGGCTTGCCGAGCTGCCGGGCAGTGAACACCTACATGCGGCCACCCAGCAACATCTATAACCAGCTCATGCTCCACTACCCAGGCCTGCTGCAGGCACAGACCACGGAAAGTCCTGCCTCAAGGGGTCTGAGAGGCAGCAGCCTCATGACTCCTGCTTGGCTCCCCACCCTAGGTAAACCCAAGGGATGGTCCACGAAGTGTCTAGGCAACAGTGTGGATCTCCTGTAGCTGCCATGATCATTCCCGTTCTTGAATTCCTGTCTTTGACCTTGGCTCGATTTGGATCTCGCCTCCTGACCTGGACACTGACCCCAGCCTGGAATTTGACCATGAACTCCTCTGCTACTCTCAGCCCCAGGTTTCACCTGGCTCTGACCCTTGGTCCCGACTGCCCTTGTCAGGATCCTGACAGCAAGTCAGTCCCTCTAGCCTCCTGATCGTTTGATTCTCTTCTTTAGGCCCAATCCAATTTGTCAACATCTATCAGGTAATGAGGTGCCCATAACTAAATAGGATACCCCAGTAGCAGTCCTAACAGAACCGTACAGCAACCAGAATCTCTGCTGCCTGGAAAAAGCCATGCAGAAGCATGAAAACTGGGTTTTCTTCTGCCACCAGTTGGGACGGACAGGGTCTCCCCCTGTGACATAGCACAAGATTTCCACCCCACTAAGCTCATAGACCATTGGGGATCTGCCAGAGGGAAGGGCAACCACATTGACATCCCTTTGTCTCTGCTATACTATCTATTCCCTTGGCATGCAATAGCCCAGGAGGGAACAGAAAACTTCCTCCGAGAGGGTCAGCTAGCTGGTGAGTACTCCAGAAACACCTCTCCCCCAGGAGCATTCCACAGCCCTGACATCAGGGACAACACAAGCTAAGAAACATTCCCTCTGAATTACTATGCACAGCTATGGCCTGCAGTTCTGAAGCAGGAGAATCCAGAACAGCTTGACTGGCAACCCCCCTTCTCCCTTTCTGCCTGTTAAACCAGAACCCTGCAGAAGGACTTCCATTGGGCGAGGGGAGGAGAGAAGCAAGCTTCACTCCCACTTCTGAGTCCTCCCCAAGCCTCACACCAATGGTGCAAGGCTCCCTTTCACTCAAGGAAGGAAAGGGGAATGTGGGGTCAGTGGAAAGGGATGATTAGGTCCCTGTGCTGTAATGTGCATACACACAGCCCTGAACTTTGTTGTCCATTATCACACCTAAGTCTCTTTCAGCATTCCCAGTTTCCCCCCGTTAGCCTGTTGGAGCCTAGGTTTGGTGCCTTTCACAGCATGCTGCAGTGCTATACTTGATGTCCCATGCTGTCCCTGGGACAGAAGGGCAGGGCATACTGGGATGGAAAATATTGATGAGAAACGAGCTGTCAAATATAATGATCTGTGGGAACAGCCTCTTAGAGTGGAAGATATCACTCTGCGTTCTTTAAAAACAATGCATTAGGTCTAACGTTTCCCAACAGGACACAGCATGTTAAATGGACATTTTTAAAATTTCTTTATAAATATAAGTAATGCCTGTGTTCGAGGTTACTCACCCCGTTACATAGCTGTGTTTTGGATTATTCCCCTCTCCCATTATATTACCTTGCATTTTTCTAATTACTTTCTGGCCGTGATCCTAATCTCTCCAGACACTTCAATATTATTTCTTCAGACTTCCCTTCTGCCTCAGCACATGACTCCCTGTAACTTGTTGCTTGCCCCAGAAGTCAGCTGGTATTTTGGCATTTGAATGTTGGGTTTATGGTAGCTATAGTAACAAGAAAAGCCTTAGCGACTAATAGTGCCCAAGCAAGAAAAGCAACTGGTGCTACCATGGTAACTTGTGGCGTTACAGCAATTCTTGAAAGAAATTGATCATTTTCTAAGATAAATGTCAAGGGACCAGCCTAAGAAATACCAGTGGCAACAATCTAATTGAAACGCTGCAGCTCTTGCAGTCCTTTACCTTAGGGGTGTCAGAGGAGCCTTCCAGCATCACATCCATGGTCTTGCCTGGGATCAGCTCCATCCTTAATGGTCGAAGCTTAAACACCGGAGAGGAGGTCTCTGGTCTCTGGGGGAAGTTCTTGCCCTTGGCGTTACCGATAGCAGGGAAATGGTTACGCTGGCGAAATGGAGGGAAACCTTCCGTCATCCAGTAGAGCTGATGGGTTCGTCGTCCACGATTGGTTATCTTGAAGCAATAGCAGCAGGGATCCAGACTAGAAGAACAGCAGAATAGAGGCAGATGGAAAAGGTTACTGATGGTGGGGGTGTCTCTACCGAGAGAGCAAAAGGTCATTTATTTAACTGGGAAGCTACTAGAGAAATGTATAAAACATTCAATTTGCCAATACCGGGGGGAGGGAGGAGGGATGAAGGGGTGATCACTAGCAGCCAGCACAGATTTACCAAGAACAAATCATGCCAAACCAGCATGATACCATCATACCTTCTTTGACAGGGTAACTGGTTTGGTGGATAGGAGGAATGCGGTGGACATAATATACCTGGACTTCAGCAAGGCTTTTGACACAGTCCCACGTGACATTCTGATAAGTTAGCTGGAGAAATGCGGGTTTGGCGGAACTCCCATTAAGTGGATACAGAATTGATTAAACAACCACAAACAAAAAGTTACTATTAATGGAAAATTTGTTAGTCTCTAAGGTGCCACAAGTACTCCTGTTCTTTTTGCAGATATAGACTAACACGGCTGCTACTCTGAAACCTATTAATGGAATGATGTCAGGTTGGAGGGAGGTCTCAAGTGGGGTTCCACAGGGATCTGTTCTGGGTCCGGTGTTGTTTAACATCTGTGTCAATGACCAGGATGTAAGAATAAAGCGCATACTGATCAAATGTGCAGATGACACAAAGCTGGGGAGGGGGCGGGGGGGAGACTGCCAACACTTTGGAGGATAAAGCTAAAATTCAGAGGGATCTTGATAAATTGGAGAACTGGGCTAAAGACAAAAACATGAAATTCAACAAAGACAAATGTAAGATGCTACTCTTAGGGAAGAAAAACCAAATGCATGAATACAGAATGGGGGATAACTGGCTTGGCAGCAGCGCTGCTGGGAAAGATCTGGGAGTTGTGGTGGATCACAACCTCAACATGAATCAGCAATGTGATGTTGTGGCAAAAAAAGAAATGCAACTTTGGTTGCATTAACAGAGGCCTAGCATGGGAGTGATAGTACCGCTCTACTCAGCACTGGTTAGGCCTCAGCTGGAGTACTGTGTCCAGTTTTGGTCACCAATGCATAGAAAGGATCCAGAGGTGAGCGACAAAGATGCTCAAAGGACTGGAATGCAAGTCATATGAGCAAAGGCTGAAGGAACAGGGTAGGTTTAGTTTGGAAAAGGGGAGACTGAGGGGGGACATGATAGCAGTCTTCAAATATTGAAAGGCTGCCATAAAAAGATGGAGAAACATTGTTCTCTCTTGCCCCAGAAAGCAGGACAAGAGTCAATGGGTTCAAACTACAGCACAGCAGATTTAGATTAACTCTCAGGAAAAGCTTCCTATCTGTAAAAACAGTAGGCCAATGGAACAGACGCCTAGGGAGGTTGTGGAAGCTTCTTCGCTGGAGGTTTTCAAAAGGTTAGTTTAGACCCAACAAATCTTGCATCTTGGCAAGGGGTTAGACTAGATGACCCTTGTTGTCCCTTCTAACCCTATGATTCTATGATTGCTGGAACGCAGCTATTCAACTGCACCCACAGCATTAACGCTAACTCTTAACAGCATGCCATGTTGTGACATCCAAAGAGACTTGTGTGGCTTGAAGCGATGGCTAACACAATATACTTTTTAAAGAGCCACTCTGTGCCAAATGGCCCTGAGTTTATGGAGCGCCTCCTAACAAGCTGCAATAAAGAATCAGGGCCGGCTCCAGGCACCAGCGCAGGAAGGGGCGGCACGTCCGGGTCTTCGGTGTCAATTCGGCAGTGGGTCCCTCGGTCCCTCTCGGAGGGAAGGACCGGCCGCCGAATTGCCGCCGAAGAATGAAGCAGAGCAGTAGAGATGCCGCCGAAGTGCCGCCAATGGCGGCTTTAGCTTTTTTTTTTTCCCCTTCGCCGCTTGGGGCGGCAAAAAAGCTGGAGCTGGCCCTGTAAAGAATGAAACAGAAAGGACCAAATCTCAGCATTTGCAGTAATTATGCTTCTCCTTACCTTTATCTCTTTAATATCCTCTATGTATCTGTGCAAAGCTAGTCCCCAGAGTCCCACAAAGTGAGCTGGTTTAAACTGGCCATGGCAGGAGAGGCAAGCAAGTACCCAGCACTGTTGTCTGTTACAACTTCCCTTCAGTGTAGCCGCTGAGCACAGGTGGTGGCTCAGGCTAGGCACATGAGTACAATCCTGCCTGCCCCCTGGTATGAGCAGCTAGCTCGAGCCACTGTGGCCAGACTGCTGTTTTTAGCATGCTAGATCAATCAGATTGTAGACACCTCCCAGCTGCAGTGTAGCTACATAAATATCCATCTACATTTTACAAAATAAACCTTGGAGGACTGGAGGGGAGATATTGACCCTTTCCCAACATGACCCTGAAAGGACCGAATCCTGTCTGTGATTCCTCTCATTAAGATCTCTGCACTGCCAAGCCAATGGAGCTTGACAACCCCCCAGGCCGCCCTGTGGGAACTGGCTGAGATAACTGGATTCATGCATGACCTCCAGGGATTTCAGACTAAAGGAAAGAAAGGGCACTGGGTGGCCTGCATCCTGCAACTCCATTTCCTAGAGAAGCTAAAGCTTTTTTTGCTGCTAAAGAGATCCTCTTTCATTGCAATGAGAAAACACAGTGTGCATCTGTATTTGAACATCTGGGTAGACTGCCACCCTTTTCTTCAACTGCTACAGATTAATGGCCTGCTCCAGATAGGAGCTGAGTGCCTTTAACTTCTACCCCACCAGGAGGTGCTCACCACCTAGCAGGATTGGGCTCTCAGGCTCTGTTCTCATTGAAGAGATTCTGAGAAGACGGTGGTAAGCGTGCTACAAGAACTAGACAGAGTCAATAGTTTCCCCATTAGCTACAGTGAGCACAGGGCCGGGCCCTGTCTGCTGTTAGACTGGAGTGACATCAGGGGCTAAATAACAAGAGCTAACATGAAATGAATAGTCAATGAGACATTGATTCCATTATGCACAGAAACCTCAAGTGTAAGGTAGTAATTATTTCACTGGATACTAATATAAGCATGACTGGCAGAGGAATTGTTCATGGCACAGTTACTGTCTTGTTTTGGAGGTAAAGAATATGCAGCCAATGAAAAGTGAGTATAACATACCTGGCTAAATACAAAAACAGAATTTACACCATATTCCAAGTTAGTCTGTGAAAGAAAATGTTAAAAATGCATTTGAAGCATACAATGGCTGTGTGAAATACGCCATCTCGTGCAATGCGCAATGACAGATCTGAACTTTAAATCAAGTTCTGTACAGATGCCTAATTTCTGGTTCAGTAAAAGCCAAATTCATCTTAGTATCTATGCCCCATTTCACTTTATTTAGTTGCAGTTTTGCAGCTGGTTGCAATGGTGGCTTAACCGCAGGAAGATGCTGCAGGATAGGAGGAGAAAGACTGTCAGAAGAACATGAATTGAGTAATGCTGCCAACATCTTATCACTATGCATCCAATCTGGCCATCAGGACATGTCCGATCAACCATCAGGAATAGCCATGGAAACAGTGGTGGACAAACCCAAGCCTTTATGGAGCTTTTAGTTAAGGCCACAAGTTTGTCACGGAAGTCACGGATTCCATGACTTTGCGTGACCTCCATGATTTCTGCAGCGACCGCTACACCTGGCCCTGCGGCAGCGCAGGCAGCCTCTGGGCCAGTTGCACCAGCTGCTGCTGGGGAAGTCTCGGGCCAACGCGCCCCCTTCCCCCAGAAGCAGCAGGAGTTTGGGTGTGGGAGGGGGCAGGGGGTTGGGGCAATGGACAGGGTGAGGCAGGCTCTGGGCAGCGCTTATCTCAGGGAGCTCCCCAGAAGCAGCAATATACCCTTTGCTCAGCTCCTAGGCAGAGACGTGGCCAGGTAGCTCTGCGTGCTGCCTCTGCTTGCAGGCACCACCCCCACAGCTCCCACTGGCAGTGGTTCCCGGCTAATGGGAGCTGCAGAGCCGGTGGTCTGGGCAGAGGCAGCACCCAGAGCTGCCTGGCTATGCCTCTGCCTAAGAGCTGAGCAAGGGGATGTCGCTGATTCCGGGGAGGCGCGGAGCCAGGTAGGGAGCCTGCGAGTCCCGCCAGCACCAGTGGGGGTCCCGGGCTGCGCTAGGGTTGCCAGGCATCTGGTTTTCAACCAGAACGCCCTATCGAAAAGGGACCCTGGCAGCTCTGGTCAGCACCGCTGACCGGGCCGTTAAATGTCCGGTTGGTGGCACAGCAGGGCTAAGGCAGGCTCCCTGCCTGCCCTGGCTCCGTGCAGCTCCCAGAAGTGGCCAGCATGTCCGGCCCCTAGATGCAGGGACGACCAGGGAAGCTCCACGTGCTGGCTCTGCCCCCAGCTTTGCAGCTCCCATTGGCTGGGAACCACGGCCAATGGGAGCTGCGGGGGTGACGCCTGCAGGCGCAGGCAGCATGCACCACACAGAGCCTCCTGGCTGTGCCTCCACGTAGGGGCCGGACATGCCAGCCACTTTCGAGAGCAGTGCGGAGCCAGGGCAGGCAGGGAGCCTGCCTTAGCCCTGCTGCACCGCCAACCAGGAACCGCCTGAGGTAAACGCTGCCCATCTGGAGTCCGCACCCCACCCCCTGCCCCAGGTCAGAACCCCCTCCTGCACCCAAACTCTCTCCCAGAGCCTGCACCCCCTTCCACACCCCAATCACCTACCCCAGCCCTGAGCCCCCTCCCACATTCCAAACCCCTTGGCCCCAGCTCGGAGCCCCCTCCTGCACCCCAAAACCCTGATCCCCAGCCCCACCCCAGAGCCCTTACCCCCAGCCAGAGCCCTCACCCCCTCCCATACCCCTGCCCAGAACCCCTTTCCACACCCTGAACCCCTCATTTCTGGCCCCACTTGGAGCCCTCACCCGCAGTGAAAGTGAGTGAGGGTGGGGCAGAGCAAGTGACGGGGGGGAGGGGAGGCTGGAGTGAGTGGGGGCAGGGCCTCAGAAGGGCAGGGGCAGGGTCTCAGGGAAGTGGTATTTGGTTTTGTGCAATTAGAAAGTTGGCAATCCTAGGCTGTGCACTGCTGCCTGCACCTCCCCAGCACCCGTGGGGGCCCCGGGCTGCGTGCCACCGCCCTCCCCCCCCAGCCCCCGTGGGGGGCCCGGGCTGCACCCCCCCGCCCCCCCCCCCCCCCAGCACCCATGGCGCCCCAGGGCCGCTCCCCCCCCAGCATCCCGGGCACCCCAGGGCTGCCCCGCTCCAAGATTTATTCAGGGGTATATAGTAGAAGTCATGGACAGGTCACGGGCCATTAATTTTTGTTTACTGCCCGTGACCTGTCCGTGACTTTTACTAGAAACACCCGTGACTAAAATACAGCCTTACTTATAGTTAACCAAGGATCACAAAACGCCCCGGACATCTACACTCAAATGGAACTAAAGCTCAAAACTAGTGTAGGTGACTGAAAACTATCGTATCTCAAACCCTTAGAGCTAAATTCTTCCATTTGAGACTCATCTCTTTTCCATTCACCATCCAGGGTCAATGGACTTTTGCTTCCCCCCAACTATTTTCAGAACAGGACCTTGCAGTCATTCTCCCTTTTCCAATCAAGAGATAAAGCTTTTCTTCCAGCTTCTGCCCTAAAGCCAAGAGAGATTGGTGGGAAAAGATGAGGAGCAAGAGGAGGGGAGACATGAAGAAAGATGAGAAGAGAGGATAACTGTCATGACTCGCAGGTCTCTAACCTGGACCTGCAGGTTTCCTGGGCAGCATCATGCTCCAACCCCCCCACTGATGACTTACTAGCATATGTTGGAACCAGGACTCCTTGAAACCCAACTCACTTAGAACTCGCCTTTGGGTCCCAACTGTTGGAAGACTGGGGCTCCTGATTGGCCTACTTCCCCTGTTTAAGCCAGAAGGAGGAATAAGACGTCATAGAATGATAAAATCATAGGACTAGACGGGACCTCGAGAGGTCATCTAGCCCAGTCCCCTGCACTCATGGCAGGACTAAAGATAACTGGGTTCCACCCTGCTTTGGACCGCACATCCAACACTGCCTGCTCCTGATCTCAACCACCTGGTTTCCTGACTCCTGGTATCTAACTTATAGTTCCTGACCTTCTAGTTCTGAACTCCAGCTGGCAATGGGGACCTGTGCCCACCCCACAAGATAACCACTAGGCCTCACTGCCTACGTCCCAGCCCTGACACTAATAGACAGAACTCCAGCAGGGGACCCATGAAATAAAAGTGAGCTAGGGAAGGTTAAAGGACAAAGACAAATTTTGCTGCTCTCCCAAGGCGCTGAGGTGTGGAGCCTGCTGCAGGTAGAAAGAAAGCAGTACTGTTAATTTAGAAGAGGGGCTGCTAAAGAGCAACATCAAGATTCACTGCTGCTGCAGGGGAGTGGGGGTCATGACCCACCCATCAGGTGAAAAAAGGAGCAAAATGTTTGAATGATCAAAAAAATAAAAGGTTTTTTTATGTATCATTTGTCAATCTTCAGCCTCCTGGACCTTCTGCAATTTCCACTTAGTGGAATTTTGTCAACCACGTCCCATCTTGTTAGCATTCTAAAGTGACAAGTGACTTTGAAAGGGCTACAATATGTCTTCCAATGCACTTATGTAGCGCCTATTTAAGTCAATGGGAGCCATGTCCTTGTACCTACAGTCCTAAGGGACTATAATAAAAAAACGTCCTTGCTGGGGCTCTTTATTTGGTCCATGGAGATGAAGGAGCATAGGAAAAGGAGAGACCCAGAGAGATGACCTACCTGAAATGGGGTCCCAAGTTGAGTGCTGGAGCAAAGGGTTTGTCCGTGACAATCGTGGTACCAATGCCAACAGCCTGGACTGGGATCACATAGGTATTGCTGTTTTGTATGAACAAGTTCACCTTGTCTTGGAATTTCACCATGTCATCCAAGTTAGCAATCAGAGTCAGCGATACCTCAGCCTCCGGGGGAACTACACCTTCACTGGGCTCAATCCTCCACAACGAGTGACTGCGAGCCTGCAACAAGATCCAGAAGCTAAGATCAGAATAGAGCCATTGGCCTCAATGTACCGGTGAGGCACTACAGGATATGGTTAAAAGGAAGAGAAAGCAACGACGGGCAGGGAAAAAGCAGCATCTCAGGCTGAAATGATTTCTTAAGGAACTCTATGTTTTAATGTTCTAATTCATCACATCTAATAATGAAGGCTGAAACCACATGAGGACTGTTGTAATAATTAAGGTCTAGCAGGCCTATGTGAATTGTGAGCCAAACTGTTGGAAAGTAGGTAAAGGTTCATGAATTATTACAATGACCTGTTATGTAAAAATTGTTTAAGAAAGATTTGGGAAGGAGACACACTGAATTAATTTAAACAGAGCCGGTTTACTGATGCCACTCAAGGACTGTGTTAAGATCATGCCTGGTAGACAAGAAAAGTGTGAGACTGGAAATCAGTGCTTCATTGGTGCTTCAGAAATTGGGCCTAATTGGTAGATACAATAATGAGAGGATGGGCTATTCTGCACTTTTTGAGGCCCTTAGAAAGGGAAATGGGGGTGAAACCATCACCATGGCTGCAACAGAAAGATTTTTTCAAAGACACCAGACCCTGAAACTCATCGCTACACCAGTGAGGATCCCAGCCTGATGCATGTGAGATCCTGCTCTGTCTTCCCCTTCCTCAGGTGTCCCTTTCTGTCCCCTGTCCTACCCCCACCCATGGCTTGTCACCAGATCCCGAAATCAACTGCATCAGCCCATCTAGTTCTACTCAGCCTGTGAAGGACCAGTGAAGGAGAGGAACCTGACCAGACCAATCAGATGATGTCCCTGACCAGGCAGATGAGCTGGGGTCCAGAGCAACAGCTGTTATGCCCAAACTGCCAGTCCAAAGCACCATCCAGGACTGACCTGCTGCCCTGTAGCCTGAGAACATAAACAAAAGCCGTATTTCCCCCTCCCTGTTACTACCCTATCTCTTCTCTCCCTTTTGCATCTGTTTTGTCAAAAAGCAGGAAGGTTACTATTGTTCCCGACTCAAAATTGAACTGAACTAATCCTTTCCTCTCCACTAAGGAGGACTGTTTGACAGCATGAGAGACACTAACCGATATTCATCCTTTCTAAAAAGAGATGTTGATACGTTTTGATTTTTGTTTTACATAGCCACTCAATTTCAGTTTCAATCCCTTTTGCCTTATTTGATTCCTTTCCTTTTGTGTATTTCAATCAATACATTTCTAACTTCTGGCATGACTTTTCTGGTGTGCTTGCCATGGTACTACGCAGGCCACGGTCTCTATATACCGAACCCCAGACCTTCTTTAAAACTCTTTTGTGTTGGACAGTTTCAGGCTCGTGTTAACACTTTAGATCAACTATATGGGCCCAAAGAGCCAAAATTAATACAACAGGACCCAGGAGATAGAACCTTTCACCTGCAAGTCACTATTTCAAATCCAGCTCATGTCAGCAGTGACCGCAAGCGATTACCATCTGATGGCTTATGGCCTATGTGACCTCTATGAAATTGGTTTGATGGTCCTGTTCCAGTTCCTAGGGGAGATAACCAGATTAAAAAAAAAACAACCTCCACCACTGACACTAATTAGCATCCTTGCTGTCAGGGTAGGCAGAGGGGCCACAGACTAAATGAGCCATGGAATTGGAACCCCCTGCTGCTGCAGGGGTTACTTAGTTTGACAATAAAGCTGTAAACTAAAGGAATGACTCTGCAAAACCAACTAATCAAAATCCAGATGCAGCCAGCAAGGTCTTTTCTCAAGAGTTAGGCTGTGTTTTTCAAAGGCATCTAAGGGACTTTGGCATCCAATTTCCAGTGAATTTCAATTGGACTAATTCTCTTAGGCTTTGGAGAATCCAAGTCGTCAAGGTTTATGACAAAACAGTACGTTAGTTAACAATTAGAAAGGAAACCAGAACTGAGCCCTGTGATCTGAGTTTCCCAAGTACTCTCCTCCTTCTATCTCCTAAGTAGCCCTTCTCAGAGACCTGCCCTTGAAGGCTTGTGCGATGAGGGTGGTAGAAACTGAGCTGAGTTTTTCATAGGAGGCCAGGTAGTGACATGGACCCTGTCAGAGTTGCCCTGCGATAGACACATTTTAATTGGCTCTTGGCCAGTGCTAGGATAAGCTCAAGATGGAATGCAGAGTAAACCCTAAAGATCATAGCTGTATCGGAGAGGGTCTGTGGGCCATTTGTGAACTCTTAGATTTATTCAGAAGGACCCATGCAGGTCGTTTCCACCAGCATCATCCTTAGGCTCCTGTTTTAAGAGAGACTAACTGTCCTCAACAGAATCCCTCAGTGAGCTGTCTCAACAGCTGGGGTAGAAGACACAATCTCCAGCATCTTTTAATTGTACATTTGTGTTTTACTGCTCTGAATAATGCAGAAAGAGGGAAAGGCCATTAAACATGGTCTAGGAGATCCAGAAGGACTCACTCACAACCACCTGAAACAACATGGGAACGATTTGAGAACAGCATTTTTATGAAAAGCGGGGATTTGCTCACTGCTTGAAATGGACTGAAATGCTGTTTGCTTCAAGTGAGATCAGCTCTACTGAGTTTCCGTCCATCAGCCAAGGAGCTCTAACATTATGACAGCCAACTAAATGGAGAAATACATCAGAAAACAAAACAGCACATCAAAGTGCAGGAGCATTTAAAAGGATTCCAAATAACCTCCCCACACAGTTTTAGGTTATTGGGGAGAGGGTGTCTAAGGAAGTGGGCAGAGCCAGATTTTAACTGAAAAGTGAAAATGATCCCATGGAACGAGTGTTTGGGGCTGTGCTGGTTTCTGACAGAGTGGAAGGGCCGCTCCCCAGTTCTGTGACAGGTCTGCTGCAGACCTGGGGCTTTACAATGACATTAAATACATGACACCGGCAAAATTAACAAACTCAGTCCGATCCAGTTGATTTGCAGCTCCCCACAGCCTCAGGGAGAGGAATCCTTAAAATAGAACCGCAAAGCAAGAGGAGACAGCATAGCAGAGGGCGGTCTGTTATGTCTAGCTCCAGTGCCATGCTTCACTGTCTACATAAGGATGGATGCAGATCTAATTACCGGACCCACTTTGCTCCTGCACCTGCTGCCCTCTCTCTTAGATACAGTCTACTCTTTATTCTTTGGCTTTTGGATCCTGTGTTCCATAACTCTGCTGTTTGGACAGCTACCAGGGTGTTATCTGCCTCTTGTTTCAGATTCCAGGACCTTGTGTTTGGATGTAAAAAAAGCCAAAATCATTCTGGGATGTATTAGCAGGAGTGGTGTAAGTAAGATACGACAAGTAATTCTTCCTCTCTACTCTATGCTGATTAAGCCTCAACTGGAGCATTGTGTCCAGTTCTGGGTGCCACGTTTCAGGAAAGATGTGGACAAACTGGAGAAAGTCCAGAGAAGAGCAACAAAAATGATTATTGATCTAGAAAACATGACCTATGAGGGAAGATTGAAAAAATTGGGTTTGCTTAGTCTGGAGAAGAGAAGACAGAGGGGACATGATCATAGAATCACAGGACTGGAAGGAACCTTGAGAGGTCATCTAGTCCAGTCCCCTGCACTCATGGCAGGACTAAGTATTATCTAGACCATCCCTGACAGGTGTCAGGGATGGTCTAGATAATACTGTCAGGGTGGTTAAGCACTGGAATAAATTGCCTAGTGTGACAGGGTCAGGCCAGATGGCTACAGAAGAGTGATAGAAGGCAGATATATTAGTCCCAGATTAAGTAGATCCCTTTTCCCCGGGTAAGGTAACAGGGGCAGTTCCAGAACAAGCAGGAACTTGCTGGAACCAGTTAAGGCAGGCAGGCTAATTAGGACACCTGGAGCCAATTAAGAAGAAGCTGCTAGAATCAATTAGGACAGACTGGCTAATCAGGACACCTGGTATAAAAAGGCTCTCACTCCAGTTAGTGAGGTGTGTGTGTGTAAGGAGCTGGGAGTGAGAGGATGTGCTGCTGGAAGACTGAGGAGTATAAGCGTTAACAGACATCAGGAGGAAGGTCCCGTGGTGAGGCTAAAGGTGTTGGGAGGAGGCCATGGGGAAGTAGCCCAGGGAGTTGTAGCTGTCGTGCAGCTGTTCCAGGAGGCACTCTAGACAGCTGCAGTCCACAGGCCCCTGGGCTGGAACCCGGAGTAGGGGGCGGGACCGGGTTCCCCCCAAACCTCCCAACTGATCTGGACTGTGGGTTCTACCAGAGGGGAAGGTCTCTGGACTGTTCCCCAACCCACATGGTGAATCTCTGAGGCAAGAAAATCCACCAATAAGCACAGGACCCACCAAGATAGAGAAGGAGCTTTGTCACACTAGGGAGGTTGTGTAATCTCCATCATTGGAGATTTTTAAGAGCAGGTTAGACAAACACCTGTCAGGGATGGTCTAGATAATGCTCAGTCCTGCCATGAGTACAGGGGACTGGACTAGATAACTTATCGAGGTCTCTTCTAGTCCTACAATTCTATGATTCCATGTGAACACCACCACTCTAGCATTCCCATTGAAATGCATGGGTGCTAAAGAAATCTGTGAATAAAACGGTAACCATTGCTCACTCCCCCGGTCAGACCACAGATGCTGCATAAAGCCTTCTGAACCTTCTCCAAAGCATTACTGACCAAATGCATTCACTTCTTTTAAGCTCTTGATCATTTAAAATCGATGACTTGAAGACAACGCACCATAGAAGCCAGGAGAAGCCCAGCTTGTTCCCGCCATCCCTCTCCACCTCTCCTGCAACCATTACACATCTGGTCACTAGCACTAGGGAAATCCAGTAGGGTGCAGCAAAACAGAGACTATTCTATTAGCACTTTCTATTTCAAGCCGGAAGACATTAGGTTTAGATTGACAGTAATGTTCAATCTATTTTCTGATTCATGCTGACACAAGGTAGCTGGCCTGAAAAGGAGACCTGATAGCTTTGCTGTAGAAGTGAATCTGCGAGACTGCTATCAGATGTAGCTTATTTATCAATGCTTGG